TATTATATATTTATCTGTATATGATTTAACAGTTCATTTCTTGTTATATATCTAAATATCTTTATAAATAAATATATTAAATTATCAGCAATTTGGTTTTATCTCTCTAGAGAACCCTGTCTAACACACCCACAAACAATAAAATCGGGTACTACTGTTATTAATTGCAAATTCATATTAACTTTAGTTTTAAAAATACTTCACGTCTATTATTTGGGTTTTACAACCACCTTATAAGGTAGAAAGAACATAATATACTCTCCCCTCCTCATTCCATTTGCACTTAACAGGAATTAACTATAAAATACATGCTGACTAAAAATTTTAATACAGGACAAATTAAAGGTATAAATTTCACTTTCCCCTCAGTATCCAACTCCTTTCCTTACCTATTTTTAAAATATATATGGGGAAAAGAACTTTAGGAGGTAAATGAACAAATCTTAGTAGTTAACAAAAGTCTAAATCAATTAAAAATCAAGCACAACCAAGAATTAGAAATCCATAATGAGAAAGGTAATAAGCTTTTTTCTAAGATTTTTTGAAGTTCAGATGTCACATTATAAAAACTATTCATTCTGTAACCCAAGCATCTCCACTAACTACCCTGTCATTTACTATACATTATGATGCAGTAGAAAGATGAAGTGGTCTGCTCCCATAAACATTTAGAAGCTCAGAAACCCTCACGAGCAGTTTTAATCTATCCTCTAGGGCAGCTATGAAACGTAGTTGGTTCATAGTAGTGGGTTTTCCCATTATAACTACTCTTTTGGCAGTTATTGTTTAGCAGTTATTGTTTAAAACTAGAAAAAAAATCACACTTCCTAATATGTCACATAATAGAGCTTTTACTGTCATCAAAATCATATTCTACCTATTTACTTTTTCTCATACTTGTATTCATGGAAGCCAGACTCTCAAACAAAAAGATCATAATTCATAAAGATAAACCATTAATTTCTAAACTGCTAACTCATCGTAAGTCTAATTTTAATATACGAGAAAACATTGAAGTAAAAGATAATTTTTACAACTTTACTGTGTCATAGCTATCATAAAAGGCCTTTTGATTAGTAAAAGTTTTCCAATTCTTATCTGTTTAATTCCAAATTAGCACAGGTTCAATACATGAATGAAATGAGCTTTAAGGAAAGCAGCAAAAAAAAAAAAAGAGGAAAGCAGCTAAGAGCCAGTAAAAAATAAGCCTAACTAAAATATTCATTACAGTTATTTCTAACAATGTGAGTTCCTAACTACAAAACATGTCCCAGCTATGGCATTAGCTGATGAAAATTTGAGCTATAAAAATGTTGATTTGGCAGCCCTCTCTCCCAAGTGAAAAACTATGGTAACTGGTTTAAACACAAGCACAAAAGGCCTTGAATTATATCAGAGTCAAAAGTAGAGGTCAGTGGTGAATCAATTAACCTAGCAAAATTTCCCCCCAAAATATAGCTATACCTTTCCTAACCTCTCCCACTACTAAGATTCTGAAGGGAAGTAGAAATAACATGTGAATACGTGTGCATACATCTCTTTTTCACTCTTAAAATATACTACTCTCCACCTCCATGAAAAATCCACCACCACCATCCCCCTTTAAACACTGCATCAAGAGCAGGCATAAGGAACAGAGCTACAAAAGCCCCAGAGCTCAGCAGAAAGCTCTGCAGGTGAGGGATGTACCAGCTGTAAGCCATCTTCAAAGCTTTCTGTGTCAGCTCCATCTAGAATGCATTACATTACATTTCAGACAATGGCAAATGTTCAGCTCATCATCCTGGGAAAAGCACAAAGCCTACTCCCAACTGTCATTGAGTTGATTCCTACTAACAGAGATCCTATAGGCCAGAGTAGAACTGCTCCTCAGAGTATTCGAGACGATGAATCTTTACAGACAGACAACTTCATCTCTCCCTCCCCCACACTGCAGAGCCACTGGTGAGTTTGAACCCAAAACCTTGCTGTTAGCAGCTGAATGCTTAACTCACTACACCCCTAGGGTTCCACCAGAGTCTACTACCCAGATTTTTTAAAAAAGTAAAAGGAAGCTATTTTGAATGTTAAAATAACAACAACCCTATTAAAGACCAAAACCTATCCTAACATTAAGATGACAAAGCACTACACTATGCAGCTGATAACTTATTTGAGGACTTTCTGCCCCTATTTTGGGAGTCTTGACATAGTGGTTACAAGTTGGAAACCACCAGCAGCAACTTGGGCTTTCTACTCCCCTAAAGAGTTACAGTCTCAGAAATCCACAGGGTCGCTGTGAGTCTGGCTGTGAGTCTGTTGTTTGTTGCCCCTATTTTAGCTTTTCATTCTGTAGTATCGGCTTTTCTATTATAAAGTTCTGTCAAGCTGAAAACCTTGATCATTCTAGAATATACTACTGTGCAAAGTAATAAAATAATCAAACAAAACTAAATCTGCACTGTATGTCAAGCTAGTTTAAAACTTTCAAGGTCTATTTTATAGCCATGGTTTCAAATCCCCTATAAGCAACCCTAACACTGCAATGATTCAGAAGATTTCTAATGATGTATAAACATGTAGCCAATTATTGTATGCTAATTTGGACTAGTGTTTCTTGGAACTGTTGAATTGTGTGACATATGAATGAAGTGCTAATAAAACTGTTAAAATTAAAAGTAAATAAAATTACTTGGTAATTTATTTAATGTTGAACTTTATTCCGTTCTACAATGACACCTACTGGCCATTCAGAATCAACTATTAGTTGTCTAAGCTCTAGTAGGTTGGTTATATAATAGGAAGACACACACACACACACACACACACACACACACACACACACACCTTGCACAAAAGCAGAGATTTGTTCACAGGTACTCAGCACACTACTGAACTGCACTCAAAATAGAATGAGAAATATTATTTGTAACTGAGATAGCATGATTCTCGTGAAAGAAATAAGGTAAAGAATAAAACACCAAGTAGCAATTAAATTTTTATCTAAAACATTGATAAACATCTCTTTACTTTAAATATTGCAAGACAAACCAGCAAACTCTGAGCATCCACTTTTCTTTCCTGAATCAATTTTTGACAAAGAGGGAAATGTTGGCTTAGGGTTCTGGCACGTAAAATAGAATTAATACGAAAAAAGATCACATCTTAGGAAATTATCCTGTCATAGAGGGTTTAACAAGTTTAGGAAAATGATACACATGCTAATGTAATATTAGTCTTTAATAGGCTAAAGGTAAACCTTTTGAATGGCTTACATTTTAGTAACTTATAATTCTTTTAAAAATGTTTTCCAGTGAGCTATATATATAAAATCAAGTTTTATGAAATTTTTTCCTTCCATAACACATTGAATAGGATTCACTTTATTCTACAGTTCATTGTGCAAATATGATTTTACATTTTTAAAAGACAATTTAGAGTTGCTTATATCTGCAACATATTTTACCTCAGTCCAAGAGACGAAAAGAGCATACTTTAAAAACCTAATAAATAAATAATTCATAACTAGCCTCTCAGGCTTACAAAGCAAACTACTTAAGAGTTGACTTATATCCCAATTCAGCCACCACTTTTTTTTTTGCAGTTCCTAGCATCCACATGACCTAGGAAAGAATCTACTAGACGCATTTTCTAGTTATTTCCAACTTGCTGCACCTGTACTTAACCACCTCTACATATTGAGAGGCTGTTCACATTCCTGAAGATTTAAAATCAAACAAAAACCCTCTATTCGTTATCAGCCTTGACCCTCAAAATCAATACAATCGAGAACTGCCGGGCACGATATGACCATCTCCATCCCAAACTAACATCCCATCTTTCTATCCAAATCCATATTTGGCAGTAGCTGTTCGTGACTACTCCATCCTTCATGCTATCACCCTTCGCCTACAGAGCCCGCCTGGGTAGACAGCACTCACGCCAAGAAGAAAGTGTTTTGACACATCAAGAGGTTGCGAGACCTCCTCTATCAAGAGAGACAATCTACTCGTTTGGGTAGATAACTGCCACAGATTACATAACGTATGGCCATAAGGAGTTTCAAAGATCTGACCAGCGATGATTATTTTTCTTTTCCATTCCCAGCCGCTCCAGCCCCGGGTATTGGCTCTAAAACACAATTCTTTGGATTTGCCCCCGCAGTTGCCTGCAATGCTGAATCCTTTGGGTTTTTTTTTGTTTTTTTTTTTGGGGGGGGGCCTTGCCTGTGATTGTGTGCAAGGGATCCCTCCTGCTCTTACGACATCCTCTTGCTCGTGCCTTCTGCTTCCCCCGCTCTGCCGGCGCCACCGCAGCCCCCCACGTCCTAGGCCCGCGCGTCGCCCTCCAGGGCTCAGCCTCTAACCGCCTCAACTGCTTTCTCCTTCTCCTCACGACCCGCAAGCTGCTACCTGGTCGCCCACTCCAGTCCCAGCCTTCCACATCAGCTTGTCTTCGTCCTTAGACAGTTTCATGCAACCAGCGAACAGGAAAATCCCTTCCGATACAGCACTTCGCGTCGCTCAAAGACAGCTCCGCCACCTACCTGTCACCCCACGGTCTCCGGCTTCCCACTGCCACCGCCTCCCGCAGCAGCCAGCCAACTGCAGCGCAAGAATCAGCTCTTCCATTGGGCGAGTCCACGTTCCCAACAACAGTCTCTTTGATTGGTTGCAGAAGCTCCCGGCCCGCCCCTCGGTGCAGCTGCTAAGGTTTCCGGTCTCGAAGCGTGGAAAATATCTCCTCTTTCCTGTCTTTCCCTCTCCAACAGTTTTGCTTTACGCATACTGAGGACGCACGTGTGTACGGGGAAAAGGTTGATGTCCAGTCTCCCTCATATATTTTTCACAGGTTCCAGGTATCTTTGAACCAGTAGCGGAACCTTAAATGCCTTTTCTGCTTCTGGTCGTAAGCGACTCGAGGTGACAACTTCCGCTTCCGGTTGGGCTCCAGCTGGAAGATTAAAGTTTGACTGTCCTGAGAGGTCAGATTGCCGTCAGGTAAAATAGGTAGTTGGTGGGAGGGAGACCCCTGCGTTAAGGATAAGAAAGAGAATGTGTTTGGGGAATTGTAAAAAGGAAGCGCCTCGATGGATCGGGAGATGAGAGGCCGCAGTGTAACAGGGAAGAAGCTCGCTCGAAGAACTAACGGGAGAGAACTAACGTCTCTTTAGAGCTTAGGGAGGAGTTGGAGAAGGATTGAGAATTGCTATGGTTGCTGTATCCAAGTGCTTTTCTTCCTCCTCTTCTCTCAACACCCCTCCTTTAGGCCAGTATTGATTGGTTTGCGGATAAAGGCAAAAGAGCACCTGGAACTCGTGAAATAGACACAATTGTAATGCCTGCCTCACAAGTTAATGTGGCTTTTTAAGCAACCGTTGATCGTGAATTAAGTGAAGGTTTACAGAGAAGATCATCAGTTTTGCATTCAAGGACTCATGTTTCGTTTCAATTTACCCATTGTAATTCCCACAATGTACCATCACTTACCCCACTTCCTCCCTGTTTCCGTTACCATTTCGCCTTTCCTTAACCTTTTAACTTTGTCCTTGTAAATGATTCACTGGGTTCGCGAAGTCCTGATGGTGCAGTGGATGAGCATTGGGCTGCTAAGGTCAGCGGTTGCTAGGTCAGCAATTCAAATCCACCGGCCCTTCAGCAGGAACAGGAGGCGTTTTATCCGCAAAAATATTTACGCGGGGGTGGGGAACCATTTTTCTGCCAGGGGCTATTTGGATATTTATAACATTATTCGTGGGCCATACAAATTTATCAACTTTAAAATAAGCCGGCTATATTTGGTCAAAGATTTAGTTAACTCGCCTCAAATGTGATGGCTGGAACTGCTTCTCTTTGGTGAGGCGTGCATTATTAGCTAGGATTGATGATTCCAGGGACCTATTCCTGCCAAGGCCGGACATTTCCCATCTCTGATGTGCAGTCTCGGAAGCCTACATGAACAGTTTTACTGTGCCCTATGTGGTGCCAGAGTGAGATCAATTAACCCCCACACAACTTAATTAAAGTCAGTGAGCCTTTATTACCCCGCGGTCTAGGGGCAGCTAGCGCCTAATTCACCTAAGACCCCGAGGTTTTTATACTATTTGGAATAAACAAGGGATAGGGGGCAGGTGGTGCCACACTGTATGGAGAGAAGGGGAACTTGGATACAAAGACAGGTGGTTTGATACTGGGATATATGGGACCTTACAAAAATAGAGCAGCAATTTAAATTTAAAAAATAAATGGCAATGGCTCAGCAGTTACAGAAAACAGCAATTACAAGAGGAATTACAGTTGTTGCAAAATGGCCATCCTTGGGCCAGTACAAAGTGGTTACACTCAGCCTAATTAATACAGCCTGGTGACCTTGTTAACATGGCCACATCTTTGGGGGAGAAAGAGGATAAAGGGGCGTTAACATCAAGAGTTCAAGAAGAAAAAATGTTTTGAAAATCTTTGGCCAAATATAGCCGGCTTATTTTAAAGTTGATAATTTTGTATGGCGGCAGTAATTGTGCAATTAGGCTTGATCTCATTGAATTGTGGATTGTTATAATATCTGTAAGAGCTCCCAATAAAATGATTAAAAACAAAAAATGGCTACATCTTAGTTGACTACTACTACATCATGGTTACATTGGGGTTAATTGTGGTGACTTACTACACAATAGGGTCACTGTGGGTCAGAATAGACTTGGTAGAAGGAAGTTTGGGTGTTAGTTCAGCTCTAGGCCTGAAAGGTGACCGAAGGGCCATAGTCTTGCAGATGCTCCCACTCTATAGATCACTAAGCAAGGTTTCAGAGTTTTGATTTTTGATTTCTCCACATATCTAGTTATTTTGGTCTCCGTGTTGTGGAAATTGATGTTTGTGTGCTCAGTCTTTTGGCCTCTTGTTTCTGTGTATCTTTTGTTTTCCTCTCATTTCTTTCTTCCAGATGGGGAGAGACCAATAGCCTTTCCTTAGAAGGCTATTCTTATGCTTTTAAGATCCCATTCGTTACTACAGTAGGATGTAGGATATACATACCATCCATAAATGGTTTTATAATGTGTGTTTATTTTCTTCCTAACTTACTGCTTGTTCATTATCTTTGTAAGAATCATTCATACTTCTGCATGGAGTCTTGTTTTCTTGATAATATTATATACTATGACAATACCATAAGTATGCCATTTAAATATTAGACATTTGGGTTGTTTACAGTTTGGGGCTACAACAGTGTGGCTAAAAAGAGTTTTATGAAATATATTTCCTTATGCACATGTCAGTTTTTCTAGAGCATCATGATGCTATAGAAATATATTATGAGGCTCTCATATTTTAAGTTTTTCTACTAGCTACATTTAAAAAGTAAAAAAGGAACAGATGAAACTAATTTCAATGAGACATTTATTCAACCCAATATATTAAACTTTTTATTTCAATTTATAATCAGTATTGAAATTTGAAATATTTAAATGAAACACTTTACATTTTCATACTGTCTCTGAAATGGATATGTGTATTATACTTTAAGGATATCTCCATTTAAATGCTAAATTTTAAGTTTTGACTGCTAAGTACTGTTCCACACACAATTTTTCCAATAACTAATCTGAGAATTTGTTTTGAAATTTAAGTCAATTAAAGTTAACCTAAAAATTATAAAATCTTTTTTTTCCCAAAACCATTTCATTGGGAGCTAATACAGCTACCATAATCATTCCATAGTTCAATCACATCAAGCAGTATTGTACAATTGCTATGACAATCCGTTTCAAAACATTCTTTTCCTTCTTGAACTCTGATATCAACTCTCCTTTAACCCTCCGACCCCCACTTCCACTGTATCCCCTTTGAGCCTTATTATACGTGTTGTCTGTATAGGTTCATCAATCCTGGATTTTTAAAAATGTAAATTCTAAACTTTCTAGTTGCACTAACCACATTTCAAGTGCTCATTTCTATCATATAAGACAGCACAGATCTAGAGTACATATGAAAAGAATTTTAAAATTTTATGGAAAGATTCCATTATCTTTTAATTCCATTTTCCACAAACTTTATAAAGTGCCCTCAAATACATCTAGGAGTTTCCACTGAAATGAAAAAGGGAAAAAGAAAGATGGGTATTTTATGTAAAGTTGTAAGTGTCCCAGTTTTAACTTGTATTTATTACTAGTATTGTTTATTACATGTGAAAACTATCAACATAAGGTTTTGTGATTTCCTAATATGTTTGTAAATATTATACCTGATATAATTATTGGTTAATTTGTCAGAATTACTATGTACAATTTCCCTCTGGATTCTGGAAACTATTATTTAATTAAATGGGTATTTGGAAGCACTATCATAATATGCCTTTAGTATACAGTATCTAATAATTAGAACCTCCGTGTTCTAAAATCAGTTATGGTAATAATTATTTGGTTTAGTCTTCTGGAGAACAGTGATTATAGACTTGATACTACTAATCTTATGTAAAGTAGAACTTTACTAATTCTTGCTTCCTTAATTTGAAATGCATAATTAAATGGAATCGAGCTGAAGTTTATTTTTACATTATCAATAAAAATAAAGGGGTCCTGGTGGCACTGGAGGCTTGGCTTTGGGGTGCTAACTACAAGGTTGTGGGCTCAAACCCACCAGCTGCTCCACGGGAACAAGATCAGGCTGTCTACTCCTGTGAAGGTTCACAGTCTGAAGGACTACGTAGAGTTTGCTCCGAGTCTGAATCGACTAGATGCTAGTGGGTTTGGGTGACAACAAAGTATACACAACGTTTTTGCTATCCTTATTTAAGGCTTATCAAAGAATTAAAGTGAGAAAAGCTCTAACTTAGGAGTTAGAAGTAGGGGCTCTAAAACCAAATTACAAGGTTTATATAACAATTTAATTATTTAAGTAGCTTTCAGAAAATTAAGTCTTGGCATTATTTGTAAAACGGAGATCGATTAGCAAATTAAGTTCAAAGGGTTTTAATAACAGAGTTAATACATATAAAATACTCAAACATATATAACTGACATATAGGGCTCAATATTTTCTGTTATTATAATGAAGAAGGAAACCAAATAGTAAATACTTAAATCTCTGAGTGGTAGAATTACGGATGATTTTTCCTTTATATACATATATGTTTTTTCTATCAGTGAACATATAATAGCTATTAAGACAATGTTTCATAAAATCTCTTGAACTTAGAATTTTTAAGTGTTTATATTGAAGCATTTTGAAACACTAACTATCTACATTTTTATCCCTAAAGTATCTCTTCCTGTAGATATGGCCCCTGGACATGGACATGGACATGAACATGGCCATCATAAAATGGAACTTCCAGATTATAGACAGTGGAAGATAGAAGGGACACCATTAGAAATTGTCCAGGAGAGGCTGGCTGCACAGGGGCTAAGAGATCCATGGGGCCGGTAAGAGGAATTAAATAGCCTTAAAGAGAATTTATTTTATTTTATTTTATTTTTGCTCGGAAGAGGGGTGAAGGAGGGGGGTGAGAAGGGGAGTGGGGTGAGAAGGGTGGTTTTTTTTTAGCCTTAAAGAGAATTTATCCGACACAATTTATGTCTTATTTTCCTTCACAATGTATTCTTTAAAAATCATGAAAAGGAGCTGTTTACATTAAAGTTTTAAAAAGTGTTGGTTGTATACAATAAAATTCACCCCATTTTAATTGTGCAGATTAGTGTGCAATACCATGATTCCTGTCAGATGTATACAGTTACATATACTGTACACATAATCGTGATAGGGAATATTTCTGTCATTTCCAAAAGTTTCCTTATGCACCTTTGTAGTCAGTCCCATTTCACCTCTGGCTGCTGGTAAGCATTGATCTCTTTCTGCCTCCATAGTATTGCATTTTATAAAAATCCTACAGTATTTAATTTTGTGTTCTGTCCTCTTAATGCCTTTGCAATATAATCATGTTATAGTTTATATACCTAGTTGCTTCCTTTTTATTGTCCACATTCTGTAATATTTCATTTTGCTTATCATTCACCAGTTGGTCATTTGGGTTGAGTCCAGTCTGAGGATATTTTGAATAAACTTGTTAAGGCTATTTGATTATAAGAATGGGGCTTCTGGGTTACATGATAAGTGACTTCTTATTTGGAGGGGTGGGGGTGGGGGGGTGGAACACTACCAAAAATGGCAGTACTACTTTCCAAAGTGGCTTGTACTATTTTGAGTCCCATCCGTCATATGAGCATTTCATTTTGTCATTGTTCTCATCTAAACTTGGTATTATCAATCTTTTAAATTTTAGCCATTCTAGTGAATGTGGAATAGTGATTTTAATATATATTTCCCTAAAAGCTAATGATTAGAGAATCTTTATGTGTGCTTATTACTATTCATCTCTCTTATTTGATGAAGTATCTACTCAAATCGTTTTCCCTTTTATTTATCAGGATATTTGTCTTATTGAGTTGTAAGAATTTTTGTATTTTTTTCATAAAGGTTTTGCATATGTTTTCACTCATATTATAGCTTGCCTTTACATTTTCTTAGTATTACTGTTCAAAAGCAAAAGTTTTTGATGCATTCCCTGTTCATGGGCATTATTATTATTATTATTTTAGGGTTTATGATTTTCTAATTCTATCTAAGATTTCCCTCATTTGTGTTTTGTTTGTTTATTTCCCTAGAAGCTTTATAGCTATCCTTCTTATATCTAGTATATGAACTGATTTTTATATAAGGTGAGACATAAGTGGCAATCATAGTTTTTCTTGTGGATATCTAATTGTTCTAACATCATTTATGAAAAGGCTATCATGCTTCCATTAAATTGCCTTGATACCTTTGTCAAAAATTAATTGACCATATATATAACCTGATCAATATGCCTGCCTTTATGCCAATACTACAATATCCTCAAATCAAATAGTATATATGGTGGCTTTATTTTTTTATACTTTTATTTACTATTCTAGGATCTTTGCATTGACATGGAAATTTTAGAATGAGCTTGTCTATTTCTACAAAAAGCCAGCATGTATTTTAATTGGGTTGCAATGAATTTATAGATCAATTTTAGGATAATTGACAATTTATTGATATTATTTTAATTTCAAATTATTAGTGTATAGAAATAAATTTTGTTTTTGTATATTGAGTTTGTGTCCTGTTACCTTGATAAGTTCAATGTTTAGTGCTAAGTTCAAATATTTGTTTGATTTACATATAGATACATCTTTTACTCTCAGAGTTTTCTTCATATATAATCAGTTTCCCTATAAAGAAAGACAAGGTTTCTTCTTTTTTTTTTAAATCATTTTATCGGGGGCTCTTACAGCTCTTATAACATTCTGTACATCAGTTGTATCGAGCATATGTGCACATATGTTGCCATCATCATTTTCTAAACATTTACTTTCCATTTGAGCCCTTGGTACCATTTATGCCTGGCCTGAGACCTCCAACCTACCAGCAAGCAGCTGAGCTTGGGAACCATTTGCGCCACCCTACAGTTTTTTTGTTTTTAACCTTGAGGGAAAAAATACCCAGGACTTGTCTTTCCATCACACAAAGTCATCAGCCCATTGGACAAAATTAACAATCATTTAATATCGTCATAAAACCAATTCCATATTGCATTTCCTCCCACTTTTTATACAATGTCATTTTACAGTCTATTTCCATCCAGATCCAAAGTCTCCTTTAATCGAACACAACCCTCCACCCCCCACCCATCTTTGCACTAACTTGTTGAAGAAGCCAGACCAGTTGCCCTGTAGAACATGCCACCTGCTAGATTTGGCTCACCACTGCCTGGCAGCATGGTTAGACAGTTCATTTTCTTCCAGACATATTCTAACTAGGCTTTCACACCCAACTATTCCATAGAAATGACTCCTGTGAAGATTACCAATGACCCAAGGTTGCTAAATATAATAGTCTGCCCAGCCATGATCTTACTCAGCATATCAGCAGCCTTTGGCAAGACTGCCCACTCTGTCTTCCCAGAAGCACTTTCCCCATTGGGTGTCCTGGACATTCTTGGTTTCTTCCTGCCTCACTGAACGGACCTTCCCAGATCCTAGGTTGGCTCCCTGATCACTGGTCTGAATGTTGGTGGTCGCGGGACCCGGTCTTAGGATTTCTTCTCTCTCCTCCCTCCCTTGGTGACCTCAGCTAGGCAGCTCTTAAAATTCCACCTATTCAGGGTTTCTTCCTTTCCAATCTGTAAACTTAAAATTTTTTTCTTCTGTTATTACATTGCTATGAGTTCTAGTAGAGTTGAGTAAAAATGGTGAAAGCAAACATCTTTGTTTTGCTTTAATTCAGTCTTGTCACTTAATATGGTGTTCATTGTAGGGTTTTTCTAGCTTCTAGATGTTCTTTATCAAGGCAAAGAATTTCCCTTCTATTCCTAGATTACTGAGAGGGATTTTTTTTTATCATTAATAGATATGGACTTCTGTTATGCTTTTCCTGTATCTGTTGAAATGCTCAGGTCATTTTTTAATTTAGTCTTTAACACCGTTTAAATGTTAAGTCAATTATTAAGACAATCTTGCATTTCTGGAGATAAACCCTACTTCATTATAATTTATTATTTTAAAATATTGAGAATATTTATATCTATGTTCATAAGAAGGATCCCTGGTGGCCCAGTCATTGAGTACTTGGCTGCTAACCAAATGGTTGGCAGTTCAAACCTACTCGCTGTTGTGCTGGGGAAAGATGGGGAGTCTACTTGTCTGAAATATTTAGTCCTTAAAACCCTCTGAGACAGTTCTACTCCATCCTGAATGGTCACTGAGTGGGCAACACTGGGGATACTTATGAGGAATGGTGCTTTCCTGTTTTCTTGTAATGTGTTTATCTGGCTTGTAGTCCACGTTAGATTTTGATTAGCTCTCATCCTTTCTACACTTGATCTTAGCCAAAAGGCTGCGAAGCGATGGCTTTCAGATTTTGTACTAAGTCATGCTTTTTAAAGGTAAACGTTTCTCGGTCTTTATGAGTCTTCTACTAATCCTGTTCTGTAGAAGAAATGTCATCCGATTTCTGATTACTTCTCCATTCAGGGTTCTCAGAAGAATGATTGCCAGAACAGGAAATCAAGCTTGTCTAGTTCAGGCTGTTGTAACAGGAAAAAGCAGTAATCCTCTTGAATAATAATGTCACATACTTTCTGTGCCAAAATGTTTCATAGATAACTCTGTTGAATCTTTATGACAACACGATTGCAGATGCATGGTAATGATCACTGAGTAGAAGAGGAAGAAAGCCCGAGACATGTAACTTGCCTAGTCCAAAAGGTTTTCAATCTAGTATAAGTGGCACAGCAAAGATTAATAGTCAAGCCTATCTAACTTGTCTTTCTGTGATGATGTAATGACTAGTATGGGCAGAGCCAGTGTGCTGACCAGTGATGGATAGACTTGATTAAAGTCTTGCTTTGTGACTACAGCAGTGTGTTAGAAAGATGGAAATCCAATATACTCTAATTAATGAGTGTATACCAGTAGTGTATGATTATAACACACCCTCCTCCCTTTTTTCCTCCCTGTAGCAATGAAGCTTGGAGATACATGGGTGGATTTGCCAACAATGTTTCCTTTCTTGGTGTATTGTTAAAAGGATTCAAGTGGGGATTTGCTGCCTTCGTGATAGCTGCAGGAGCGGAGTATTTCCTGGAGTCCCAGCATAAAGATAAGAAGGATCACTGAAGCTAGTTCCCGGAAATATATTAGTGGCTTCTTAATCTCTTATAAAAATAAGATAACTATACCATAACCTCCCTCTCGGTGTGTTTGTTCATTAAATAAAACAAGGAAGATGTAATAAAATTAGAAATTGTGTGCCGGTGCCTGCCATTCCATAAAACAACAAGTGTCTCAGCCATATCAGATTTGGTTTCAGATACATGGAGTAAGACCAGCAGCAATGCATTCTATCCATAATAGACAACCTATGTTAATTGACTGGTTAACAGTTAATCTCTAAGAAGGTTTTTTTAATGGTAGTTGGCCTTGCTTCTTTTCCTATCATTTTTAGGGAGTGTAAAAGGACCTAGATGATACTATAAAATATTTGCCCAGTTCTAGTGGGCATGCTATGTCTCATTTTTCTTTGTTGTAGACCTTCCTATTTTTGCTTAATCTCTCAATTGTTCACTTGCCTTGAAGAGCTAATGTTTTTCTTTTTGTCATTCTGGAATTAAATTAGATGTTCTCCACTAATTGTTTTGAAATTTTTAATTAATTGAATCCCTAAGGGTGAGATTTAAAACAAAGGAGCTTCTGTTTGTTTTATTGTAACTCTGTTGTGAGTTAGGTCAATGTTTACAAAGTAGACCAATTTTTCATTCAACAATTTACACACATTGTTTCATGCCATTGACTGAAGTCTTCACAGTGTAAGATCACATATCCTACTTGTGTTTCCTGTTTCCATTCCACCTTTGCTAACACTTCTGAGCTTTGCCTTTGGATTAGTGCTGTCTTTTATCTCAAATGATTCATTGTTCTAAGGTGTGTGTACCTCCCTAGTGTTATTTTTCTCCTTATTATCTTTAGGATTCATATTTTTGCCTGAATAGTGTAGCTAATATAAAGCTCCTAAATGCTTATTTTGTTTGTTTCTCTGCAAAGTTCATGGCTATAAATATGAACACCAATCATTACTAAATTTGTGTGTAAGTTAAAAAATATTGCTTCAAAATCGTAGAAACCTTTTGTAGGCAAATGTAGGGGCTAGGGCAATATTTGATCCCCTGAAACTTCACTGGGGAGGAGAACTAAATTCATTAGTCCAAGGCCATGTCCTAAGGAGAAGATCAGGCATGCCTCTGCCTGCCAATCTTTCTTGCCAATTCTGACAACCATCTCTCCCTTAGAACTAATGTTCATCTGGGTTTGAAAATTTATTGCAATGGTCACACAGAATTTGCAGACAATACTCAAAATTCCATGGGTAATTAGAAAAGTGAACAGGATCAGAAAGGCTCAGGAAAGTTCTTCCAGTTGGGACACCTTAGCTATGTCTGCCAGCACACCTCTCTGGTCCTTGGCTTAGCCACATCTCCTCTTCGTCACTGCCCTCCGCTAGCATTGTTAGAGACTTTTTTGGCACTTCCAATAAAAAGCCCAAGGACAAGCTACACTACCATAAGCTCTGGCCAAGCACTCAACTTTTAGCTCAATGGGTTAGCAAACTTAGTTCCCCAATTAAGTGCCCAGAGACGCCCCACTCCAGCAAGCAAAGCTCCTGCCTGTAAGCACTCAGCTTTATTCTGTGGACCAGAGAGCCCCCACTCTGGTGGTTGGTGCTGCTGCTGCTCTTCTGCACTCTGCCACCGCTTTCTGTCCTTGGACCGAAGAGACTCAATGCCACGGGGCCTCAGGTATGCGGTCCTGAGTATGCATTCCTGTGTCTTACCCCTTCCTGTAGTGATGTCTTCCTTCCTATTTCAGAGATGGTTCTTTTTCTACTCAACAGGATGGTATAAATCACACACACACACCCTTCACAGTTAGTTTTTGAAATTAAATTAGCACCATGAAGAGCCACTCACAATTGAGTCATAAAATTCTGTCAATATCTTCCCCGACCTCTTACCCAGACCCATCTTGAAAAGCAGAAATAAAATCCATCTGCGTAGTTTGACCCAGTCATTTGTTGTGAAGGAGCCATATCAAGTAAATCATTGCACCACAGTTTTATTAAACAGAAGTAATATAATGTGATGTCATTGTGTGGTAGCTACAGGCAGAACTAGTGTTGTCCCTCGGCATGCCAAAGCCTCCCTCCCCCAGGACAGGTAGTTGGAAGCTGCTTAAGGCTGGAGGGCACCCACACATTCAGGTCTTTGAGACAGGAAGCCAGTACACCTGAGTGGGACCCCATCTAGAACAGGTGGGCTTAATTCGCCAATGGGGTCAAACAGTACCATCAATCACGCCTCCCAACGGGGGCCCTGAAAAGCCCAAATTTTTTGAGACCACCTACATACTCTCCCGGCAGCTGTGATCCTAAGTGGCTGGGCCAAGGGCCCGTGCAGCCATGCCACAGACTCTGGCTTGTGTTCCCTTTACTGTAATGTCTGAAAACGGCTTCTCTCCTTCAGAAAACTCACTTGGATCACAAACCAGGGTTTGGCATGAATTCTTTCTCATGTGAAGCCAAGGACCGAGGTATTTCACGAGACCCAACACTTGTTTCTTGACATATTTTCCATCTAGGATGGCGTGGCAAATGAGATGAAAGGCCCAATCCTGTCTCTCACGACAATTTAAAATTACTTGAGAGCCATAAATATATTTTTAGAAAAAAATGAAAGCACCATTATCTGAGTAATATCTCTTACATTTTTTTCAAAAAAATTTTTTTCAAATACTTAGAGCTACATGCACATACCAAAAGAGCTGAGTATGGCTCGCAAGCCACAAATGCCAACCCCTGATCTAGAACAATACACTTCATAAAGCAGCCATGCCTTGACTGCCTTGGGAAAGCCCCTGACCAATATGTAAGTAAGCTTCTCTGTCTAATATAATCTACTTGTCCCAGTCGTGGCCCCTGATTGCACTTCAGGAGTTCCATCGACAACTAGGACATTGATCTGTCGCCAGCCATGTTTTTGTGTTTTCTTTGACCTCCCATAACCTTTTTAAAGCTTTAGCTCAGCAAACCCTTAGACACCATTGTGACCTTGTCCTAATGTCCTCCCTCTTGTCCTTAATACATGTTCTCTTTAAGTTAAAAAAAAAATCTCTATATGGGATCATATTGATAACTGCTACTCCAAAGATTAGATTAGTGAGTGTATGTTAATGGGGGAGGAATTATTTGGAAAGGGGGGGTCAAGAATATCATCAAACTGAATTGTATATATAAAAATGTTGAATTGGTGAATATTCTGCCATATGTATTTTTTTATTGTAAATACATCATTTCATTGGGGGCTCATGCAGCTCTTATAACAATCCATACATCAATTGTTTCAAGCACCTTTGTATATATGTTGCCTTCATCGTTTTAAAAATATTTTTCTTCTGTTTGAATTCCTGGTATCAGCTCCTCTTTTCCCCTGTCCCTCCCCCATATGTATTCTTAATCAGAACAACAACACATAAATGAAAACTTTAGAACATGCAAAACCCAAATATGTCACAAAATGATCCTTTTATTTTTTATCTTCTCTAAGAAATACTTCCTAATTATACCTGAAAGAAACGTTAAGAATCTATAAAGTATGACATGAAATATTTCATGGAAAATTAATTTTACTACATACTTGTATTTGGAATGAAACATTGTTTTGTTATATTTTGTGAAACAAAGATTCAGATATTCCCTCTTGAATGTAACATGGTTAGAGAACTTCAGGAAACAAGATAGCATAGAAAATGTATCCAAAGATAAAATCCTGGCAACAATAGGAATGTATCTATGTGGGCAGCTAATATGGTGGAAGAAACAAACTATGAACAAAGGAGAAAGGAAAAGAAGGGGCTGCAGATACCATGATAGAAGCAGAGATGAGCAGAATTTAGCATACCACAGGGTATATTACAGTCATCTACTGGCTACTTCAAACATACAAATGTACAGGAAGGAAGATAATTTATATCAAGTTTTAAAGGTACAAAGTCAAATCTACACATCAATGTAAATTTGTTTCATTTAGAAAAGGAAGAATGTTAATAAGGCTACCATGAATTATAAGTATTCCAATATAAACAAGTTGAGTTATACATGCCACTCTCTTCTCTCTCTTCCCTATTGTAGATCCTATTGGTCCATGTTCCTCTTGAACTTCTGGTTGTCAAAGAATGGATTTATTTTTTAACATAGAGATCACCAAAATGGGAAAAACACAATACAGGGTATATATATGCAAGACCATCCATTGGGGTGACAAGACAATATTTAAATTTCCATTTCCATTTGTTTTCATGTTTAATAGAAATGAATTCAATTTTTTTAAGCCCGAGCGTTAGAGTGGGTTACAAGTTGGGCTCCTACCCACAAAGTCAGCAGCTGGAACCCGCCAGCCCCTCCCAGGAAGAGGATGAGGTTGTACTCATCTGAAAAGGTTGTCAGCCTTGGAAACCTTAAGAAGGGGCACTTCCGTTGTGTCCTTCGAGGTGTTGATGAGTCAGAATTGACTGGACAGAAGCAGAGGGTCTGGTAGTCCTGGTATCGTCAATATTCTTTATCAGCCCAATAAATCACAGGCATCCGTTTCTCTTTGATCTTCCTTATTCATTATCCAAATTTCACAAGCATATGGACTGACTGAAAATACCACACAAAGATAGAAAATGGTCAGAGAAAATACATCAATAAGGTATCCTGGGTGAAAGTGGGGGTTCTATTCTTCCAAAGAGGAAAATGTACTTTGCAGCTAATTGCTTCAAACTATAGGTGATAATGTTTTCAGTATTGTGGAATTTATTATCTACTAGTTCAAATTAACTACAGCCTTCCTTGAGTATGGCTTATACATCAATAGAAAACAAAAGTCCCCAGACTGGACCAATAAATAACATCATGACAAACAAAGTATTGAAATTATCAAGGATTTCACTTCATTTTGATCTATACCTCAACACCTATGGATGGAGAAATATACTATAAGAGATCAATCAAGAAATCAATGTATTACATTGGGAAAATCAGCAAAAGACCAGTTTAAAGTGTTCAAAAGAAAGATGTCTCCTGATCCAAGTCTTTTAATATGTTTAATAGCCTTATATGCATGGGAAAGGGGGACAATTAAGGAAGGCCAA